CAAGTTCTTTAAATGTTTGGTAGAATTCACCCAATTAAGCCATCTGGTCTTGGACTTTCCTTAGTTTCAAGATCTTTGATTACAGATTCAATGACCTCTTCATTGCAGGTCTGTTAAGATACTTTATTTCTTCTTTGCTCAGTTTTTGTGACTTGAGTGTTTCTAAGTTTGTCCATTTGCATCCAGGTTATCTAATTTGTTGGCATAAATCGTTCGTTATAATCCTTTTCATCCTGTTCTTGTAAGAACCCTTTTCATTTCTGTAAAGTCATGTTCCCACTTTCATTTCTGATTTCAGTAATTCAAGTCTTCTCTTTTTTTCTTAGTCTAGCTAAAGGTTTGCTAATTATGTCAGTCTTTTCAAAGAACCAACTTGTGCTTTCATTCATTCTCTCTACTGGTTTTTCTATTCTCTATTTCATTTACTCTAACTCTAATTTTTTTTTTTTTTTGAGTCAGAGTCTCACTTTGTTGCCCAGGCTGGAGCACAGTTACAGCTCGCTGCAACCTCTGCCTCCCCGGTTCAAGCAATTCTCCTGCCTCAGCCTCCCAAGTGGCTGGGATTACAGGTGTCTGCTACCACGTCCATCTAATTTAGTAGAAATAGGGTTTAAGCATGTTGGCCAGGCTGGTCTCAAACTCCTGACCTCAGGTGATCCGCCCACCTTGGCCTCCCAAAGTGCTGGGATTACAGGCGTGAGCCACCATGCCAAGCACAACTTCAATCTGTATTGTTTCCTTCCCTCTGCTAGCTTTGAGTTTAGTTTGTTCTTTACCTACTTCCTTCAGGTATAAAATTTGGTTTTTCATTTGAGATTTATTTTCCTTATTTTAAACATATACTTTTAGAGCCATACTTTTTTTTCTTTTTGTATTTTTTCTGGCACATAAATGAGGAATAGATAGAGCTATACATTTCTCTCTGGGCACTGCTTTTTCTGCATTCCAAAATTTTGGTATATTGTGTTCTTGTTTTCATTTATCTCAATGTATTTTCAAATTTCCCTTGTGACTTCATCTTTGATCCACTAGTTGTTTAAGAGTATGTTGTTTAACTTCCATGTATTTCTGCATTTTCTAGTGTTACCTCTGTTATTGATTCCTACCTTCATTCCACTGTGGTCCGAAAAGATACTTCATATAATCTCAATCTTTTAAAAAATTATTGAGACTTGTTTTGTGGCCTAACATATGGTCTATCCTGAAAAATGTTCCATGTGTACTTGAAAAGAAATTATATTCTGCTGCTGTTGAGTATTTTGTATATGCCTGCTAAGTCTAGTTGGTTTATAGCACCTAAGAGTTGATTTGTTTGTTTGTTTTGAGACAGAGTCTCACTCTGTTGCCCAGGCTGGAGTGCAGTGGTGTGATCTCAGCTCACGGCAACCTCTGCCTCCCAGGTTCAAGCGATTCCCCTGCCTCAGCCTCCCGAGTAGCTGGGACTACAGGCATGCACCACCATACCTGGCTAATTTTTGTATTTTTAGCAGAGACGGGGTTTCACCATGTTGGCCAGGCTGGTCTCGAACTCCTGATAGATATCCAGGTAGGAGGGGATTGCACTTGGATTAGGGCATGGCAAAAGAGCTGGGGAGTAGCAGGTGATTTCAAGAGATAAGTAGAAGTAGGAAGTAGGCTTCCAGCAGGATGAGACAGGGTCCTCAGTTCAGGAAAAGAAAACAGGCCCCAGGATAACCCACAGTGGCCTGCCTAAAGTGCTATCTGTGTCCTTGACCCAGCTGGCCACCATCAGCCAGGCCCAAGGAGAGCGACATTAGGCCATCTTCTTTCATTCAAGGCTGCCCCAAGCTGACTCCAAGACAGGCAAAAAGTTACAAACCACAACTCTCTGACATCAGCCTGAGAGCTCAGAGAGGAGGACCTTGCCTTTAACAGAAAGCCAACAAAAGGGCTATTTTCCAAGACATAACCAGGTGGTCCCAATCTTTCTACAAACACGGAGTAGCCGCCTGAAGGCTTTTCCTTCACAAACATGCTTCATTCGTGCGCCAAAAAGCCAACAAGAGAGCAATCCTACCTTGAGTGGTACCTGGATGTTTGTTTCTGTCCTGTGGCCTTGCCCAGAAGGCTGCGCTCTTGGCACATGTGCTGCATCTCATACAATGAGGGAAGCTGAGGCTAAGGTTACTCCCTCAGGGGTCCCTTCTCCTTTAGATGAAGTCTGGGCTAGCAGTCTCTAGCACTGCCAGCTGAGTTAACAAGCACTTCCCTGCTCCCTGCTCTCACCCCCCGACCCCACCAATTGCAAAAACCCCTCGCATTGGCTGTCGTAGGAAAACTGTTCCAGGATGACTAATCCCATGACTGCCACCTGCTGCGTTATTTTCAAGAAGTTCCTAAAAAATAAGGCAATTTGGCCGGGCGCGGTGGCTCAAGCCTGTGATCCCAGCACTTTGGGAGGCCGAGGCGGGCGGATCACGAGGTCAGGAGATCGAGACCTCCTGGCTAACACGGTGAAACCCCATCTCTACTAAAAAATACAAAAAACTAGCCGGGCGAAGTGGCGGGTGCCTGTGGTCCCAGCTACTCGGGAGGCTGAGGCAGGAGAATGGCGTAAACCCGGGAGGCGGAGCTTGCAGTGAGCTGAGATCCGGCCACTGCACTCCAGCCTGGGCGACAGAGCCAGACTCAGTCTCAAAAAAAAAAAATAAAAATAAAAATAAGGCAATTTATCATTTATTTATTTATTTATTTATACTTAGAAAAGCAAAACCAAGAAGAGGAAGCTAGATCTCTAGTGGGCATCCTCACTTGGCCAGTACGAGTGCCCTGAGCCCAGCTGTGCCACCAGCCACAGCTTTTGCCACAGTGGCTTCCCACAGGCACACAAACTGACACCACGGGTCCTTCTGGGGGTCCCAACACAGCCCATGTCTGAGATGGTCTCACCTGCCTCCTTCACTCGGTAACGGAGTGGTACCTTGGGGACCTCCTGTCAAACTCAGCATCATTGCTGACGCACAAGAGCTACATGAGTGCTGACCTCAGGGAGAACAGTCACCAAGCAGGTAGCCCATGCTCCAAATGAGTGAGACAAAAGAGAAAGCCAGACTGGTTTTCAGTGCCCTTTAATATTCACTGAGACCCTAGAGCTGGGGGACAGACCCCAACGTGGGAGACAGGGATGGGGCGTAAAGCCCAACATCACTAGCCCCTCTCATCCTGCTGAATGCCGAGCTCCTTCCACAGGACTCACCATCTCCCCACCCAGTCTCCAAGATAGTCCGGGAGAGCAGGGGCTGTGCCCCCTTCTCACCTGGAGCTCTGCCTCCCCAGACAAACACATAGGTCTGTGGAATATACCATTCCGCTAATGACTTCAGAACGATCACAGCTGCGTGTGTAGACACATTTTTTTCAACATCAGAAACATTTACTGTAGCTCTGGCCAGGCAGGGCTGTGGGAGGTGTGTGTCCTCACACACTCCTGTTAACATTCCATGGTACAACCCCTGTGGAAGGCAGTTTGCCAATACCTTGCACAATTACAAATGTACACGCCCATTGACCTAGCAAGCCGGCTTCCTGGAACATAAATTTCATTTATACTTATATGTGCATGAAATGAAGTACTTGCAAAGGTTACTCACGGCAGCACAGTATGTCATAACAAAATAAGGAAAACAACCCAAATGCTCATCAACAAGCTATAGGTTAAATAAACTATGGTCCACCCATACAATGAAATACTACATTGTCATAAGAACAAAGAGGAAGCTTTTTACATATTGACAGGGAAATTTTCCAAGACATATTGCTAAATGGAAAATAAGGTGGTGAATGCAGTTATTCTGAAATAAGTACCTATTTGAATATATACGTAAAGATACACGTATCTCTGGTTGCCTCTGGGTAGGAGAATGGGGTGGGTGACTGGGAACCAGGAGTCAAAGACAGACCTCACTGCACAGGCTTTCGAAGCTGTTGGTTTATGAGTCATGTTAAAACATTTTTTTTTTTTGAGACGGTGTCTTGCCCTGGTGCAATCTCAGCTCACTGCAACCTCCGCCTCCTGAGTTCAAGCAATTCTCCTGCCTCAGCCTCCTGAGTAGCTGGTATTACAGGCACACGCCACCACGCCCAGCTAACTTTTTGTATCTTCGGGGTTTCACCATGTTGGCTAGGCTGGTCTCAAACTCCTGACCTCATGATCTACCTGCCTCAGCCTCCCAAAATGCTGGGATTACAGGCATGTGCCACCACGCCTGGCCAAACATTACATATTTAAAAAATAAATTTATTGGCCAGGCGTGGTGGCTCACACCTGTAATCCCAGTACTTTGTGAGGCCGAAGTGGGCATATCACCTGAGGTCAGGAATTTGGCCAACATGATGAAACCCTGTCTGTATTAAAAATACAAAAATTAGCTGGGCATGGTGGCGTGCGCCTATAATCCCAGCTACTTGGAAGGCTAAGGCAGGATAATTGCTTGAACATGGAAGGCAGAGGTTGCAGTGAGCCGAGATCACGCCACTGTACGCCAGCCTGGGTGACAGAGTGAGACTCTGTCTCAAAAAATAAAATAAATTTATTAAAGTAAAAAATAAAATGTCTTGCTCAGGACATCTGAGCTGGCCTCCCTAATAAGCAAAGGCAGCAGCTTTGGCTAAATGGTTTCACTCTCCACTATGGGGGAACCTAGGGAAAAGGCTGGCTTGAGGCACACACTGACAGCTGCTTCTGGACCTGACCCCTGCAGCATCTGAAGGGTCTGCTGAAGTCCTGACTAGCGCAAAGGAAGGCACACACAGTTCCTGCTCATCAAAAACATTTCCATGCCAAGAACTGCTGGCCAGACAGAATGGCTGAGCCTCTCACTGCTGACGATACACAGAACATGCACGCACCTTGACCTTCCAGATTGATCCGGGCTGGCCTGGGTCTCCTGGCCACCACTGGCCACCAGCTGCTTGCAATTCCCACTTCCTCCACTCATGACACCACCATATACACACCCGCTGTCCCAAGCGCTCACTACCTGAATGAGTGTTCATCACGCGGACAGCCTTGGCCTTGGCCAGCTCCAGGGCGGTGATCCACTGCTGCCGGTCCACCTCTGAGCCGGCCTTGAGGTGGTAGCTCCTGGCCCCACTGGTCAGCAAGATACCACAAGAGTCCTCTGTGTCAATGTGCGCGGTGGACAGGTTGATGGTTCCACGGCACGTGTGGGCCATTTCACCCTGATTTCTGTAGGATGTAAGAGAAGGAACGGGGTGAGGCTCCTAGTCTCAATGGCTCCAGACTAAAGAAACCCTCCAGGCAAATCTTCAGAATCTCAGACCCTCAGAGCTGGGAGAAGCCCTGGAGTCAAAGTTGGGAGATAATGCCTGTTGGAACTGCCTGGTCATGGCTTGGGTAAAGGGGACTTTAAGACCACAACTGCTCTCTGTGGGGAGTGGCAGAGGGACGGGGGCCTGCATCGGTGCCACGTGTGCAGGGAGTGTCTGGTGTAGTCTAAAGCCTCGCAGACACCAGGAAATGGCAGAGTGACTGCCCAGGGTCTCTCAAGACAGATCAGCCTTCGGTCTCTGTGCTAAACTCTTTTCATTAAGTCTTAGAACCACGGAGTTGGGGCCAGGCGCGGTGGCTCACACCTGTAATCCCAGCACTTTGGGAGACCAAGGAGGGTGGATCACTTGAGGTCAGGAGCCAACAAGGTGAAACCCCGTTTCTACTAAAAATGAAACTGCCTTTGCAAAATTATGACTGACACAGTGAAAGAGATCTAACTTAACCAACTCTATCTTGCTTCTAATCTCCAAGCTCTTTGTTCATTCCTGGGCATAGGCTGAACTAACTAACTTTGAGATAAACTTAGTTTGTAGTTTACAGTTTTTTGTTTTGTTTTGTTTTTGTTTTTGTTTTTTTTTGTTTGTTTGTTTGTTTTTTGCGATGGAGTTTCACTCTTGTTGTCCAGGCTGGAGTGCAGTGGCGTGATCCTGGCTCACCGCAACCTCCGCCTCCTGGGTTCTAGTGATTCTCCTGCCTCAGCCTCCCGAGTAGCAGGAATTACAGGCATGCGCCACCACGCCTGGCTAATTTTTTGTATTTTTAGTAGAGACAGGGTTTCTCCATGTTGGTCAGGCTGGTCTTGAACTCCCAACCTCAGGTGATCCGCCCGCCTTGGCCTCCCAAATTTGCTGTGATTACAGGCATGAGCCACCACGCCTAGCTTGTAGTTTACAGTTTAAACAAAGATGAGAACAGCCCTTTCCCAAAGCAGACCTCCTTCTCGCCTGGGGACTAGAGTAACATTAGCCACAGGATTAGAAATTATTGCTTAGGAGTCATACATTTGGAGGCTATAAGATTCTGACCCTCCCTAAACTGCTCCTAAGAGCAGTGCTTGAGATATTTTGCAAACCCTGCACTTGATGGATCAGCTGGCACCACCCACAGATAAACTGACTCGTCTGATCTTGTGGCCCCCACCTAGGAACTGACTCAGTACAAGAAGACAGCTTTGACTAACTATAATTTCATTCCTGACCAATCAGTACTCCTGGTTCACTGGTTCCCCCACCACCCACCAAGTTATCCTTAAAAACTCTGCTCCCCTCTGTTGGGTGCAGTGGCTCCACCTGTAATCCCAACACTTTGGGAGGCCGAGATGGTTGGATCACCTGAGGTTGAGACCAGCCTGGCCAACGTGGTGAAATCCCATCTCTACTAAAAATACAAAAATTAGCTGGGCATGGTGGCGCTTGCCTGTAATCCCAGCTACTTGGGAGGCTGAAGCAGGAGAACTGCTTAAACCAGGACGGGGGAGGCAGAGGTTGCAGTGAGCTGAGATCGCACCACTGCACTCCAACCTGGGCTACAGAGTGGAACTCTTTCTCAAAAACAAATAAAACAGAACGAAAACTTTGCTCCCCAATGCTCAGGGAGACAAACTTGAATAATAATAAAACTGTCTCGCGCACAGCAGGCTCTGTGTGAATTACTCTTTCTCTATTGCAATTCCCCTTTCTTGATGAATCGGCTCTGTCTAGGCAGTGGGCAAGGTGAACCCCTTGGGCAGTTACAAAATTACAAAAATTAGCTGGGCGTGGTAGCATGCACCTGTAGTCCCAGCTACTTGGGAGGCTGGGGCAGGAGAATCACTCGAACCCGGGAGGTGGAGATTGCAGTGAGCCAAAATGGTGCCACTGCACTCCAGCCTGGGTGACCGAGCGAGACTCCATCTCAAAACAAAACAAAAAAAGAGAACTACGGAGTTGGAGCAGGTTGGGATCCTGCCACTAAAACTGAAATTGGAGGCCCAGAGCCTGAGGGGGCAGATGGAGAGGCATCTCCTGCTGGGAGGCACCTGGGACCACTGTCTCCCCGATGCTGTCCTTTTGTTCTATCATGAGATCTACAGAGCAAGGATACCCCATTTCCTGGCTCTACATGGATTAGTTGAAGGCACTGGTTGAGCAAACACAGTACAACCTCATGACAAGGGACTGGGCCCTCTGCTAGTTATAAGACGATGGAGTTAATGGTATCAAAATAAGGACAGGGTAGGTGACTAAAGTGTATGCCATTTCCAGTTACAATTAATGTCAGAAAATGGAGATCCAACTATCTTGACTGGACCTAACTCACTCCTTAGACACTTGAAGGAAATTCAGAACCCCTATGACATAATAAACCTTTTCCCATGTAGGGCATTAGAAAAGGAAGAGTGATTGGCCAGCATTTAATACGTCCAGTGGTAGGAGCTCATTTGGTAATTTTCTGCTACCTTTTAATGCGAATTTATTTTCCCTGGCAGCTCATCATCTGTCATTTTTTTTATTCTTCTATCAGTTCTAAAGTCAAATGACTCGACACTCAATCAGACATTTGTCAGCTGGGCGCAGTGGCTCACTCCTGTAATCCCAGCACTTTGGGAGGAGGAGGCGGATGGATCACTCGCAGTCAGGAGATTGTGACCAGCCTGGCCAACATGGTGAAACCCCATCTCTGCTGAAAAATACAAAAATTAGCCGGGTATGGTGGTGGGTGCCTGTAGTCCCAGCTACTCGGGAGGCTGAGGCAGGAGAATCGCTTGAACCTGGGAGGTGGAGCTTGCAAGGAGCCAAGATGGCACCATTGCACTCCAGCCTGGGCGACAAGAGCGAAACTTCGTCTTAAAGGAAAAAAAAAAAAAAGACATTTGTCTTTTTTTGAATAGCGATTGTCTTTTCCGATTCCCTTGTGCTTTGGGCACATTCCTTAGAGAAGATGACACGCAGCTGAAGGAAAGCCCAACTCTTAGCTGCTGGTATGTTTTGCTCGAAGGAAAGTCACTCTAATTTAGAAAACGGGCGAAGCTGGGCATGCCTGTTGGAAGCCTGACATTTTCAGATTTAAGGACATTTTAGGCTAGAAATTGTTCAGGTGTTAGTGTAGTGACTCACCAAAAATGACATTATGGCTTAGCTCAGAAATAAGAGGCGGATGGGCAGTGTTCTAGAGATAGAGAGCAGCAGGGGCAAAGCCCACGAGGCAAGCAGCAGTTCTCAGCTTCCAAGGAATAGAAAGAAAGGTCCTTTGGCCAGAGTGCCGAGAACAAGAGAGCAGATGAGGGAAAAATGAAGCAAGAAAATCAGGCAGGTGGGTAAGCATATTTCTAAAAAAAAAAAAAAAAAAAGGAAAAGAAAACAAGTCAGGGACTCAATTCAGTACCTTGTAGGCTACGTTGTTTTAGAGTCTCAGCCGTGCACGGTGGCTCACGCCTGTAATCCCAGCACTTTGGGAGGCCAAGGTGGAGAGATCACGAGGTCAGGAGTTTGAGACCAGCCTGGCTAACATAGTGAAACCCTGTCTCTACTAAAAATACAAAAATTAGCTGGGCATGGTTGTGCATGCCTGTAGTCCCAGTTATTCAGGAGGCTGAGGCAGGAGAATCGTTTGAACCCTGGAGGCGGAGGTTGTGGTGAGCCGAGATCGTGCCACTGCACTCCAGCCTGGGCAACAGAGCGAGACTCCATCTCAAAAAA